GGACACCCTTTAAATAGGTCGGTTGAATCTGCAACAATACCATAAATACATAAGTCGGAACATCCCAAAGTGAGAAATGCGGCCAACGCACAAAGATTGAAAATCGCTTCGTCTTCATGATTATGGAACTTGTGCGGTGGTTGGGGGACGTCCAGTTCAGGATCGACGGTGGTGACAGGGAACACAGACGTTGTGTAATCCATTGCATTACAAAGTGTCGTGTAGAACGAGTCTCTGATTCACCGATAATTATGTGAGATGAGTTATGCAAGTGCATTTTTTAGGTTTCACACTCACGTATTCATACCATGAGGAACAGCGGTATAAGCACAAGAAGGACAGATTATAGCGTCAACAGGACGTCCGGTCCCCGTCGAATCAATGGTCTGGTTCCAGTGATCGAGGTGGGACTTGCGGAGGGCTCGTTTTTCTTCGTGGAGACACCAAAGCTAGGTGAAATTCAAGAAGAGGGATGAGAGCTTTCCCAAGAGTCCACAAAGTACAAATTACCTCGTATGCGGATAAGTGCTTAGGTGGGTCGCCAACCAGGTGTTTGACATAGGGATACGGAGGTGAAAATTCATACGGTTTCGCTTCGAGCTCTTCGTGAGAGGGCGCCATCGCCGTGATGAGCGGCTCGCCAGTCTTGGCACACTCGCTGGCATAATCGTGATTTCCGTCTGCAACAAAAATCGTTTCCTGGGCGTCATCATCAATACCCGCATTCCACTGTTAATGTACAGAGACCCATACCGCGTTTTTGTAGATTTCGATGTGCCGATGAGGTACCCAATCAATGACGTGATGTCCAGCTTCTTCAAGGGCGCTTTTCACCATCTTTAACGCTCGAATCAGAGGAGGGTGCGGTTTCACCACCTTGTTATCCCACATAATAGCAAAACAAAGCTTCACACCTAGCCCTCCGTGATCGCACAGGTTCCATTCTTCTTCACTCCAAGGTTTTCGGATCACTTGCGGGTCGAGATCCCAAGGTTTTGCGTCGACGATCGATTTAACGAATGTTTTCAATCCGGATAGTGAATTAGTCATTGGACCCAAGACAGATAAAATGGATTCTTGGCCAGAGATAGCATTCGCTGCGCCATAGTAGGGCAGTCTGCCGTACGAGGGTCGGATGGTGTATAGACCGCAGAATCCTGATGGTATGCGGAGTGACCTAGAGTAGGGTCATTATATTAGTTCGAAAATTAAGAATACAAATATAAGGACGTACCCTCCGATATCAGTTCCAACTCCCAAAGGACTTCCTTTCATCCCAACCAGTGCCCCTTCACCGCCAGAAGAGCCACCAGCTGTCAGGGCGCGGTTATAAGGGTTGGATGTTCGGCCAAACACGTTGTTATGAGTTTCTCCCCACTGATACGCGAAATTTATCGACATCAGCCGTGAATTAATATTGGACAAAAACAATGGATTTACCATCAGTGTTTGGGGGACATTGGTGCGTACGAACGGAACGGCCCCGAGACTATAAAGGACCTGCACCAGGACACAATCCTCCTCCGCGTATTTGCCAATCCCCGATGCATAACCTACAATACCACCACCCACGACGAGACATGAACGTAGGCATGACGCAAAAAAGGTCGGTTGACATACCCATGACAGTTTCCAACCCTTTCATGGTGAACTGATCTTTTGAAGCAGCTGGTTAAAAATAACGCATCTGATAAGAGAGAGCCAGCTCACCTTTCAAAGATATCGGTAGACCATGGAGAGGACCGACGACTTGGCCAGTCTTTTTCAGAATGTCATCCAACTCGCGGGCACGAGCGAGTGCTCTCTCTGGAAATATTTCCGTCAAGCAATTTGTCTACCAAAATATGGGAGAGTTTTCAGAGATAGCGACGATAAATCAACGAGAGATTCCATACCAACTGTTGTGCTATCGCAGCTCTTTTATAAAACGCCCTCGTCACTTCCTCGCTCGTCCAGTTTCCCCTTTTCAAAAGGTCAAGAATGCTATCCACATCACTAGTCTCAGTAATCGCGAGCTCCTTCTCGTTCAACAAGCCGCAAGTCGCAGGGACATCTTGTACTGATCCTTTCTTCACAGTGAGGCCTGGTAACTCGCCGGACGGTAGTATGATCCAGTCTTTGGGAATAGAATCCAATTGTCGTTGGCGTTTATCAGCACATAAGGACTCCCAATTCTTCATAGTTTAGCTCAATATGCTGTGAGAAGCAGCGACGACGTGGTTGGAGGAACCAAGGTGGTTGAGCACGGATTGGGAAGCCCCTTTCCCATGTAAATGACGACGTCATCGTCGGCTCGTGAATAGGAGCTGCCGACGTTGCAAGCTGAAGGACCTCGTACTGGTAGACATACACCATGCAGTTTCCCTGATGAGGATTCTACAGCCAACGAGAAGCGGTGTATACCATAGAGTCTGGGGAGGGGACATAAATGGCTTCTGACTCAGTTCAGTGGCAGGTTTTTTTCACCAATAGGTTTGTTGATACAAAACATTTGGACAGGAAATGAAGACATCTTCTGAACGGTGATGACCTCGCGATACACGGCACAAGAAACGAAAATCAGCCCATACAGTAATGAATGATCCATAAAATACACAATAGAGATACAAAATGAGCAGCGACGAGAAACGAACAGTTTAAGCCTCCTCGGCATCCTTCTTCGAGCGGCTGGACTTGCTAGGAAGCAATTCCTAAATAATGGGTTAGTATGAATACTTTGGTGCGACTATGACAAGAAACGTACAGCAGCAATATGGGGAACGACACCACCTTGGGAGATGACGACGTCTCCGAGAAGCTTGTTCAGCCTAGGTAACAGCGGACGTCAGAAGGATACAAAAAGCCAGTAAAAATTTTCACGCACTCCTCATCGTTACGGATGGCAAGCTGAAGGTGACGAGGGACAATACGCTGCTTCTTGTTATCACGAGCGGCGTTACCGGCTAACTCGAGGATCTCAGCAGCCAAGTACTCGAGAACGGCAGCGAGATAAACTGTATTATATTATATTTTAAGATTATTTATGAAGAAGATGACTCAGTTAAACTCACCAGGAGCACCAGCACCAACACGCTGAGCATAGTTGCCTCGCTTCAGAAGACGGTGAACACGACCAACGGGGAACTGGAGACCAGCCTTGGCCGAACGAGATTGCGACTTTGAATCGCTGCCGCTAGCCTTGCCACCTGCAGATTTGCCAGATTTTCCTAAAAACATCGACCAGAAGAGTCAGAATCCGCTGCGTTTGGTACCACTGAGACCCATTGTAGACCCACCCTTTCCGCTCTAGATAATTCAAGGACAGAATGAGTATTGCAAAGCCAATCAGACAAAAAAAAACGAGCTCACCATGATGATAAGTTAAAGGACGATAAATTTACAGAGAAATAAGAAATACAGAAAGGGAGATGGTGGTGGTTGAGGTTCAAGAGCAGTCAATCAACAATCGCTGGATAAACGCGTCAATTTATGTCTGTTTACAGGACGTCACGTGATTAGACGCGTTTCCTAAATTTGCCGTCATTTGGTGACCGCGTTGCCCAAAACCATGTCCCTTCGATCTCAATGGCTCTGTCGATCCTTTATTACTGGTCGCCATGATTTTTATCTGCATCAAGCGAGGTCAATACATCTATCAAGACCATGTTTAAAGGCAATTCAGGACAAAGGGAAGGCAACAGCATCCCCACCACCTAAAGCTGCAAAGCCAACCAAAGAAGAGCCAAAGGATGCGCTTAAATTGTTAGGCAGGCCGCTTGGTGTGAGGCAGCGGCCCACAACAGTTGAACGAACGCGGGCAGAAAAAATGAAGGATCTTTTGGACGCGGAGACTAGGATGGCTCAGCGGAAACATCTGTATGTGGCGTATATATTTATTTGAGTCACAGAGCTGAAATCTGAATCAGGATCAAGGAGGCGGGTAAGGGTTACTTTCATGATTTAAATATGACAAGGAAGCATGGAGGAAAGACGTGGATAGCTCCCAATGTCCTCATTCGGGAAGATGTAGGTGTTCATTACACTGTTTCAATTATGTGCCTTGATAAAAACTGTAGAAATCGCTATATCTTCCAAATATCTCTGGCAAAAGTTTGGATAATCGAACGAAGAAGGATACTACTACCATGTGCTTCCAGAAAATAAGCGTAATTGCTATGCTTGGAACACAGGTATCGGAGGTGCGTCAGCTTTGGCTGTAATGATGATACAGGGCTGACATCTTCCTCAGATTCATACGAAGAGTTTTCTAGAGCCTACACTCCAACAATTCTCTGGGAACCCATACTTCCAATACATCCAAATCAATCTTCAAGAAAACCTGCTAAAGTCCTTCCTCGTCAAGCTATTTTCTTCTGGGCTTCGTGCTGCTGTGCCTGCTGAGCTTCAACCCAACTACTTGGTCTCCACCCAGAATATGGAATACCTTCGGGAGCCTCTTGGGATGACCAACAGTCGCGTTGGTTATGTTTACCTCATCGACGAAAACCTCAAAATTAGGTGGGGAGGTTGCGCGGACGCGACTCCTCAAGAAACCCAGTCACTTTTGAGCTGCACTGGAGTTCTGTTGCAGCGGCTACAGGAAAACCCTCCGGCTCCAAGAAAACAAACACCAGAGGCTGGTGCAGAGCCTTCGCTATCCCCGTAGTTATATACCGTTTGTTTAATTGCTATCTATGTATATCTTACGTCTCCAGGATTTCTTAAATGGTTTAAAGGCCACCCCAATTCAGTTCGACTTGAATCTTAAAATGACAGCGGTGATTTCGGAGGGGGAGGTTGCTTTGACCGAAGCAGTTTCTTTTGCGACAATCGCAGCACTGAGACCCAGGCTCATTCATCCCCGAATGTGGGTATACCACATCTCAGCAATGTCGCATCGCGGCGGGATGCATGGGACTCGGTGATCTAATAAAAGATTTACTGGAGCTCGCTGAACGTACATCAATTCCAATGCCACGTCACTTCAGGATATGGATGCATCGTCTCACCACAATAACATCTGCCCCATGGCCCAGCTGGTTAAGGCGTCCGACTGTTAAGCGCTTCGATAGAAGATGTTAGCACATCGGGAGATCGAGAGTTCGATCCTCTCTGGGGCAGTTTATTTTTTCATGATATAGTGTGCAACACATCCGAACGTTACTTTGTAGAGGAAAAGACAAAATAATAAGATTATTACTATTAGGCACCAGTTCAAGGGTTAAAGGTAAGATTAGCACGCCCCACCATCGACCATGTAATAAATAGTCAAGGATGCCTTGATGCTCATCGTTAACAGACGCGATATAAACGCGCAGATTTTCTGCCCTCAGCTGTTGTACCAGACCATCGCTCTACGCATCGCAATTCTGCGCACTCGACCCAGACCATTCTGCTTCCACCGCCAATAACCTGTCCCACTTTGGCAGTGGCACACCGCTTTCGAATGAATGTAACCAACCTCTTCATTCTGAGGAGAGTTATCGAGTAACGGGGGAAAGGGCATTACCGAACAAGAGAATGCAATGGGGAAAATTTGCACAAAAAACGGGAAGATATGAACGAGTCCCTAAGGGCCTCGTAATGACAATGGGTGAGGCGTGGCATGAAAATCTCGTACACAACAAATCACAAGATGACCTTCAAAAAGATCCATTCGTTGGGGTGCATTGAGTCACTATCCTCCCGTACTTCGCTTTTTGTTAATCGCACATTGTGTGTAATGCTTTGTTGGATGATGATAAAGTGAGAAAAACCCCACGAACTACGACGCGACGCTTATAGGGGTTGTGTGATGTTCATCGGTATTGGGCGCTTAAGTTTCCCTTCTTCTCCGTGGACTTAATTAAGCACAAAATATGAGATAAAAGATATAAGGACCGTGTATATGTTGCGGATAGAGTCGTAGTGCACACAATGAATACATAATTTGAAAAACTATGTGTGCAGATAAAAGGCGGCAGATCCGAAGATCATTAAATTCGTCAAGTCAAAGCTAAAAGATCATTCTACGAGGTCGCAAGCCCGGCGTTGGAAAAGGTCCATTTGCAAAGCCTTCTATACGAGACCCAAGATTCACGGAATGGTATTGATTCGACGTTTAATAAAAAACGAAAACGTTCGCCGGATAACCTCTGGAGGGGCTCGCCTAGTCCAGCCGTCAATAGCTGGTGCAGCATAAGTAACATGCGATGCTTCCATTTAGGCTTGGAGTTTGGAAATAGAACTGCAAATTTGAGGGATAGCGGTGTGGCGTTCAAACCAGCGGGGCCTCCATTGGCAATTTTCACAGACCATATAGGCGCGCCGTCAATCTGTTTATGTCTAGATTCTTGGATTTCAAAAAGTCCATAAGACCCAAACTCCGTAGGCTGAGTCGTGGAAGAAAAGCGGTTACGTAGAAATGCTGTGAAGTTAAGGTTGGTGTTTAGTGCGTCGAAGCGCGCAGAGGAGAGATCAACACGTTGAATGGTGGATCTGATCTTGATTTTGCAATGGGGTGACACAACGCACGGTCGCAGAAATTTGGCAATGGAAGCGTGGTTGTCTTCCAGAAGTAGCGACTTGAGTTTTAGGAGATTTATGGTGTCGATATTTGTCTGCTGTTGAGGTGGCCGAAGTGCATCTTCGAGTTGAATCACATTTGTGAGTGAGACTGTTCTCAGACCCGGAAGTCCAACCAACAACTGATGCCACTCTTCAGCTGGCCAGTTCTCGTATATGTTCTGCGTGTCACCCGTTTGTGGGTCATGTCGCTGACCACGCATATCCTCTCGTGGTATAACCACGGATAGATGCTGCAGAGCAGGGAACATGTCCGGGCTGAGATGGAAGAAGCCGCCTACTAACGTGAGCGAGGATAAGTGAAGGAAGTTGGTACGACAAGGGGTGAACGGCTTTGGAGGGAATGCGTTTGAATCCGCCACATGACCAAAGATCATGCCACTCGGCGTGAATATAACGGAGAGCTTTTGGATATTAAAGAGTTGTGGTTCTATATGAAGGCGTAGTATGTCCCACATGCAGTAGTCGACCTTAAGTTCTAAAGAGTAGCAGCGAGAGGCCAGAATGTTTTGTCGAATAAGAAGGTCCCAGTGATCATACCGTGGATGATTTCCTAGGAGTGGCCTCCCGTCAAGGCAGCATTGTGGGTCACAGATAAAAGTGGGCGTTTGAATGGTGAGAGGGAGGGGGTTACTGAGCTCTAAGAAAAATCGAATCGAGGATAGAGAGCTGGTGAAGTCGATGTGCCAACTCCATATTTCTTTGGTGCTGCGTCCGATGTTGAGCAAGCGTTGGCTCACCGACATTAGCGACAAGAAATCGGTAAATGGATTGGTCGATGGGTATTCTTCTCGTTGTGTACGATTCCGAAAATTCTTTGGATAGCCGACGTATAGAAATATCTCCCTTATCAACTCAGTTGGGAGATCATTGAACGCCGACCTCAAGGAGACATATCTAAGGATTAAACATTCAGAGAACTGGTTAAACGAAGAGGAGTGCTAATAACTCACGAGTCGGACATATATGCAGGAATATAGTTAGTTTGAGCAACGGAAGACATGAAAAACGCGTATAATGCTGCGTTGTATTGCGAAGGAGAATGACAGGCAAGAGGCAAGAAGGAAGCAGGAAAGAACACGGTGGTAGAAAGGCAAGCAGCTATATCATAACACTGCGTCAATTTATTCAGCTTCAACAATGGGTTGGAGTGAATACCACTTATGGGAGTAATTCAACCCGGTCAACCGGACTGGTTCTATCGAAATTTCTCATCGCCCATTGTTTACAATGGTGAAATATGTATTGATTAAAAAATTATAATTACCGGATCTATGGTAAGAAATGGGAAATCCCATTGCAAACGACCGATGACCGTTATCTTTTTTAATTTCAAGTCTGTAAAACACTCGTTTCTGAATGTGCAGACTCTGTAGATGCAGACTCTCTACAGAGTCTGCAGGGAGTCTGGTATTAACACTTCCGACTTCACTTATTCCGATCAACGGGTGGATGAGAGCTTAATAGAGCACTGTGAAGAGGTTATTGTCCACTTCAAGACGCGATGTCGATATCACGTCACACGGAGGATGGGAAGACCCGTGCAATCTTAGGCTCGCCTCAAGTTCACTCTGGGCGCTTACATTCTCATGATAGACTGGACTTTAATTTACTTATCGAAAGCTCGAAAACAAATATTAGCATTTGATAACTTTCTATTATGACTGTAAAGACCCAATAACTGAGAAGGCAACTGGGGACGCAACAGACGTACCCAAGTTGAAGTACCAAGTACTGTGCTCACGCGGCAGTGCGGCCCGATACATCCGCGTCTAAGCTTCTCGAGAATCAAGTTTTTGTCAGATCACGGTTTAGCTCGTCTGGCGTATCGCCAAAGGGGAGAATATTTACCGCATCAGATTAAAGCACATGAATCGTGGCAGTGTAGAAGACAGTGGCGAGAGGCGGGCATGTCGGGGGTGGTCTGTGCAGAGCAGATATGCTTGAAGAACTGGAAGAATTTAAGTGGCTGGCCACCTCTCCACTGCCACTCAATTTTCGCCGTAGCTACGGACGTTGAAGTATGTTAATAGCTGGATCACACATATCACCTCATTTGAATATAGCTGTGGCGTATATATTAACTGTATGATGAATAGGTTACATGTGAGCTGGGGTTAGTTACGAGCCATCTTGCCAAAACCTCCACTGCTTATTAATCATCCCTCCTGAAATCCCCTACTCGCCACATCCTCTGAGCTCTCTGTTATGACTAGAAGCCTCCGGAGCCGGAGACCTTGCATCGTTTAATGCTGTTAAGTCCGGGAGCGCCGTAGCACCCGACAGTGGGGAAACTGCAGCATTGGAGTGGGCCAGTGCAAATTGCGTTAAGTCCCAGGCATCGTTCTAAGAAAAAAATGAAGGATCAAATTAGCAACTAGGAAAATATTTGTGACGTAATATATAGGACGTACTCTCGAGCACATTTGCCTCGGGGACAGCAACTGCACCGACGATAGCAGCAGCAGAGATGATCATGATCACTGCGTTGAAGAGTTTATATTGCATGGCGATCGATAAAGTTGGTTCTGATAGAGATGTAATAGGGCTGGAAGACTCTGGAGGACCATCTGCTCTTTCGTCCCCTTTATATAACTCTGAGATGACTCCTGGATACCTTCTTTTCGGATTTCGAGTGGAAGTTCGATACGTAGAATCTACCTTTCCGACTCATGCTCCATAAAGTTATGATATCAGTGAGGTAATCCCAAATACGACAGCGTTGCCCTTTGTGCGAAAATAGAACATCCTCTGCGGCTTGAGGTCGGAGTATGGAAACACCTGAAGGCTGAGCTAGATAAAAGTGAGTATTTCTCAGTACCGACTCTTCGGTGCATGGGGTACGCACTTCTTACCATACGACTCGGAATCATCTGTCAATACCGAAGTGTCAGATTGTCAATTGTTTGTCACAATTAAATGCATAATGTGGTTTGCGGGCAACATCAAATTGCAGCATGCCGTAAACCGATTCTACAATGGCTTACCTTTCGCACTTCTCACCATGTGCTCATACTGCAATTAACCAAGCGGTGACGCAGACGCAGTAATCCGTACACCATGTAAGTTTCTTTACAGATGCAGGCATCAAGTGGATAGATATCAGTAATAAGTATTACTACAATTAATTACAAATTATTGGCCCTTTGGCACTGTACGTGGACACATAATGCGAATACAAACGGGTAGTAGTAGATCTATGCTCTGAAGGCATCAGAGTGGTAATACTTAGAAGCAAAGAAGGTATAAACCTTCAAGGCAGAGTGCAGGCGAGTGCAGGCCAGACAAGAGTCAGGGCTCCAGGTAGTCACAAACGAGGACGATTCCTGAGTGTCCCGCTTTAATTAGACACGCCCGACCACCCACAGGATCAAAAAAGTGGGAGCGCATCCAGACGTGGAGTTGCGGGAACTCTATGCGGCGATATATTTCCTCCTCCCATACGGATTCCAGGCCCAAAGAAAGAACTGCGCGGAAGTTTTCGAGGCCTCCCGTTCGAGAATCTGGACGAGGACTGACAACCAGGTGCACAGTGTGATCTTTGAAAGCATAGAGCG